TACTATAACATAATTGCATTCTGTATTATAAGTATTTTTGAATAATAAAGTATAAGTATTTCGATTCTGTATTTCTGTTATTTTATTGTTTCTAAATTGTTCTCCAACAGTGAATGTCTTTGATGAAAAGGAAAATTGATGAAATAATATACGTAGATTTCACTCGTACCTACTTAAGGTAAAAGAAATAATATACATATATAAAGAGTGTAGTACCGTTAAGTTTCATAAATAGTGTAGTAAGTTTCATAAATAGTGTAGTACTGTTAAGCTTCATAAACAGTGTAATAACGTTAAGTTTCATAAACAGTGTAGTACCGTTAAGTTTCATAAATAGTGTAGTAAGTTTCATAAACAATGTAGTTACGTTAAGTTTCATAAACAATGTAGTTCCGTTAAGTTTCATAAACAATGTAGTACCGTTAAGTTTCATAAACAGTGTAATACTATTAAGTTTCATAAATAATGTAGTTACGTTAAGTTTCATAAACAGCGTAATAAGTTTCATAAAAGTTTACACAATCACATTCCTAATCTAATAGGACTGCAACAATATTTAAATTGTTGATTGTTTTTTACAGTTACACTTCATTCTTCTCACTAAATTTCCTTTTTTTTTGGATTTTCTTTTTTAAAAATATGATCTTTTAGTGGATGCAGAAAGATAACTGTTTGGATTATTAATATCACGTTCAGATTTTTACGGTTAGTGAAAATATTGCTTGAAGTTTATAAAGTCTCTAGAAACTATGACTCATATTTTAGTTAACCGTAAACATCAGAACATGATATCAATGATTTGAACTACTCATTTTTCTGAATCCGCTAAAAGATCATGTTTTCAAAAATGAAATTCAGTAGAAAGAATAGAGCGCAAACGACAATTGACAGTTAAATATAAATCTAGGGTTTATGAATTATGGTGTCAAATTTTGGAGTTGACCTCTTTAAGAATGTTGTAAAGCTTGTGATTATGAGTGTTTGTATATTTTTCACACTTCTACATTCATTGTTATGATTTTTTTATTAATTTTGCACTCAATCAATAAATAGTATTCATGCTGATTTGGAGGGTTTTAAAAACTTAAACGACGATGTTATCATCGTTTAAGCGTAGATAATGCAATCACGAGCGTGTGTATATTCTTTCTACATTTTTCACTTACTTTAATTATTACGAATATTTATTTATTTTGAACACCCCTAAAAACAAGGTTCACGAGACTTATAGGGTTTTAGAAGTACACACTTGTAAATTAATTATTATGAATTTTTAATGTGCTTTGGTATTTTAATGTACTTTGGAATTTTATAATCTCACTTATGTGGGATTAAATACTATGGCTAGCTGTTGTAGCAAGATTTTTTTAGTAGTTTAAAATTATCAAACTAACTTTTTTCTTGTAGGGTTTACACGTGTTACCTATGAATAAACCTGTTAAGAACCTAAACCTTAAACCTTGACCCAATAACGACCCAAGTAGTTAACGTGTTGACCCGAAACTCTTTAATTATTTCGTATTGTTTCAGATCAGGGTAACTGGTCATGTAAAAAATCGTTAGGTCATATTTGTGTTCTCTGCACATTTTTACTGAATAATTCCTTTTTGTTTTTCCTTTGTTGGTGATATAAGAAATATTTGAATCTGTAACAAAGTCGGGTCTTCATCCGATCCTTTTGCAATAGGGTGTTGTGATCTCGGTATTAGCCTGCTACCTGCAAGCATGGTGCATCAGTCACAAGGGACCAGGACCAGTTTATGCAGCTATGTTCGACCAGTTCAAGTCATCACTGTGGGAATGCTTTCGCCAGTTGCTTTTGCAGAGCGACTTCACTTAGGCAGGTAAACTGAAGAAGACAAACACCCTTTTCCCTTTCCATCTTACTGTTTTTACCTTCGTTGGTGCTGTCAGAGTAGTTCATCCTCAAAAATCTAAAGTAGGTTTTGTGTGCAGCTTGATTGGAGCACTTCTCATTATTGTGGGATTTTACTGTGTGCTGTGGGGGGAAAGAGGAAAGACGGTCTTGTTGCTGAACACGCAGAGATTGAAAAAGTGACGCTCGACGATAATAAAGTGGTGGAGATTTACCTGAATGATATTTCAGTAGTCAACCCTGTCACTAGAGAAAGGACATGATCTTGGAGAACAATTTTTTGTCTTCCGGGCGGATCAGAAAGAACAGTTGACGTAAGAAAAATTGTGTTGGAAAATTTAGGTTTATTTTAATGTTATAGTTTTTTGGGTCTAACGTCTTAGTATTAGGGTTTTGTTTTGTTGCCTATTAGGTTTAGATTAGTTTTCTGTATACATAATGCTTTGTAACCGAATAAGAAGTTAGTCACAATGTAATTCTTTGAATTATGTGGCTGTCTTGGTAAATTTGTAATTTTGTAGTACTACTTTGTTTCCAATAATTTCTAGTTTTGTAATATGTTTATTCTTCCGTTCGTTACGTGTGCTCGAATTTTCAATTAATTGTGTTTCATCATGATACAGAACATCAATTACAGATAAATTGCATTTAAGATATTCAAATCCCTGATATAAGTTTACAGGAGTAATCGCTCACCGCCTAACTATTAAACGATTTCCATTGATGGTTTGAGTTCCAACAATCCATATGAACTTATTCAGGCTTCAGTTGTATAATGAACTGGAATTATTTTGATCTTCGGGTGGATTCCATGAGCAGCACAGAAATCTACCACTTCTTTACGCATCTTCGCTTGGCTTCTTGCACTGCCGGAATGGTTTTCATATCTTCCAAAAAGGTCGATGCATGGTTATAGTTTCAGCTTCCCATTTGATTTCATTGCCAATTTGTATGCGACTTACCCGATCCACATACCCACGCACTACAGAAAAAACTATGAAGTGTAAACATAAATAAAAATAAATAAATAAATAAATCAGATTTTGAAATCAAGAACTACATTAAAAGTCAAACAAATCAGCAAAGAGATAAAAAAAAGTGTAAAGTTTGTTTTGATATTTACTAAAATAAAGGCAATGAGTTTGATAATAAATAAAGGGTGAAATGCTGATTTAGTATCTGACCTATCATTTAAGTGAAAATTAGATGCCTAAATTATTATTTTTGGGTAAAATAAGTCCCTAAATTCATTAAAAATTAATAATTTCATCATATTATTATTCAAAGCTATTTTAACCAATTTTTCGTCAACTTAAGTCACTTGATACACTTTAGAGTGTAAACCGTTTTTTTCTCGCCTATAAGCACTTAACATTTCATATAGGTTGCAAATCTAACATTTAACTTACTCTCCAAAGTTAACTCCATACACTATTTCTCTATAAAAATTTACCAATCTACCCTCCAATGTATATCATATGTGAGTAACGTGACTTAAATTGACAGAAATTGAATATAGTAGCTTTGAATTTGACATTAGGGATGTAATTGGCAGATTTTTATAATTCAAGGACTGATTTTTTTGAAAAAGAAAAAAATTAGGGACCTAATTTTCACTCAAGTCAAGGACTAAATTGGCAGTTCACCCATAAATTAATACCGATAATTCCTGGAAAAAAAAAATGCTCCATAAGGGCAAATTGAGAAATCAATATATAGCGCATGTGATCCAACATCCTAGCTAGTGGATAGGGTGTTGAGTTTTCACCTATGCTCATAAATCGTACCGGATAGGTTTCATTCATGAAATTCACTTTCAACATGCCTTGGTAGTGAAATGGTAGATACGCGAGACTTAGAATCTTGTGCTAAAGAGCATGGAGATTCGAGTCCTCTTTAAGGCATAATATTGAATATTGGGAATGCTCATTGACTTGGAATAAGTGCGGCAACGGATCACTAATCTTGGTCATCTTCTTTATCTAATAAATGGGGAGTCTGAATTGAAATCGGCCGCCCTGCATCCACCCTCGAGTATATGCTTAACTGCTAAGCCTACATTACATGCAGTACTACATAAAATTACTACTGAAAAATATGTAAAAGATCGTTTGGCCATGCGAACTATACGTAATAATTATGACCCATTCCTTTAGCCATTTTAGCTAACACAGGATCGTTCAAGTCAGGTTTTTCTGTTATTAGGATAGGTGAATTATTCTAGATCCATCCCCCTAAAGAACCAAACATGATAATTTTTCACCATCTAGCTCAAGCACGAATCAAATGGATCCATATAAAGAAATCGATATGTTATATATCCATATCCACACATATATGAATGATTCAATGTGTTCAAAACTTCCCCCTCTGCTAAATTATTGTAATAGTTTCAAACGCTCCTACTCTCCTTAATAATAATAAATTAAAAAGAAAAGATATGAATTGATAGCATTTTGAGTTTAAATATCTAAAAATGACATGTAGATAGCTTAAATTCAATTATGCTGATGTGGCCTCAAATTAAAGCACCTTAATTAAAAGTTCAAAAACTTTAATCAAAAGTTAGAATACCCTAGATGTATAGCAAAAGATTGTTAAGGTGGAGTGATGGATACTAATTTCTCCTATTTCGTAATTGTAGATAACCAATTTGTGAATTATAAAAAGAATCTTAAAAATTCGTTTGTTTTTTGTTTCAATCCTGTATTTAAGGTGAAGTTGTGCTAACAATATTGAACTATTCATTAAATTGATACAATGTGAAAGTTTCTTCTCACGACTCACATATCACTGTGTCACTTAACCAGAGATGCTAACTAGGATATATCTCTGATTTGTAGGTATATATCTCTTGATTACATGTTCGAATATCATCAAATCTGAATTAGGACACCACTCCACCAAAAGTAACTTCCACTAATAAATTTCAAATACCTTCAAAGTTGAGATCTATATTCCGCCATTCAAGGAAGATGTCAGGTTCTTTGGTAAACTGATTGTGGATTCCACTAGCTAATGCATGAACTCAAAAGAAGCGGCTGAGGTTGATCCTTCACAGTTATAAAAGCCCCATTTAAACTTGAAGCATATTATGCACATTTCAATTTAGCACAAGAAGATTTTCAAATCCATGGAAGGATGCACTCATTACTTGGCAATGGTACTGGTTCAGCTTATAAAATTGTCCCTTCAGGACGGACTCAATCAGATTGTCTTCGTGGTTTACAGGCATGTTCTTGCGATGGTTTTGATCGGACCATTTGCCTATGTGCTTGAAAGGAAAGCATTCTTGCCGTTTTTCAGACTTTCTTATTGTACAAGATACAGCTGAAACTAATTCGGTAGTGGATGTGCTGAGCAGGACGCAGAGGCCTTCTCTCTCGTTTTCAGTAGCTGCAAATATTTTCCTGCTTGCGTTGTTAGGGCCTACCATCTATCTGAATGTATACTTCGCTGGTTTAGCATACACTTCTGCAACAGTTGCAAGTGCCTTGAGCAATGTTATCCCCGCTTTGACGTTTCTGATGGCAGTACTTCTTGGGTATATACTATGGTTTACTTTGATTTCTTCTACGGTTTCCTGCTCTGTAATTTTCTTACTGCTATTCAGGATGGAGAAATTGAAGATTAGAAGCACTCGAGGCCAAGCGAAGGTGGCTGGTACAGTCTTCTGCATTGGCGGTTCTCTTATTTTCACATTCTGGAAAGGAGGATACCTGTTTAAAGATGTGGAAAAGCCACTGATAAGTGTTTACAACGCAAAGGGGTCTGTTGGCCAGATCAAGCATGTTCAGGAAAACTGGATCAAGGGTTCTGCTCTTATTCTGATTAGCCACATTGCGTGTAGTGCGTGGCTAATCCTCCAGGTGATTAGAAACTCAATTTAAGATGGCACCGTTTATACAAATATAATGTCAAAACTTAGTTATATGTTCAACTTTGGCCTTTTTTGCTCCACAGGCTGTGGTGTCCATAGTCTACCCTGCTCCATTGTCACTAACCACCATCATGTGCTTTTTTGCATCACTGCAATCTTCTTTCCTTGCCTTGTTTTTCGCAAGAAATCCAAGTTCATGGAGACTGGAGTGGAACCTGCAGCTGTTTACCATCGTCTACTTCGTGAGCGTTTTCTTCTTCATATCTTAATTATCTTATAAGATACGTTCAATAACATAAAATGCGAAAAATAACATGATGCTACATTGCTGTTGCAAGAACAATTTCTATAATCTTTACAATCATATTTGTTTTCTGCATATCTTAAAACATAATCCATTAATTTAATTTTGTTCTTCCATGTTATTGGGATAAGATATATTTGAATCTGTAAAACGTTCGAGTCTTCATCCAGTCCTTTTGCAATAGGGAGTTCTGACCACAGCATTAGTCTATTACCTGCAAACATGGAGCATCAGTCACAAGAGACCAGTTTTTGCAGCTATGTTTAGTCCACTTCAAGTCATTATAGTGGCAGCGTTTTCGGCAATTGCTTTCGCTGAGCGACTTCATTATGGCAGGTAACTGAAGAACACAAACACTTTCTTCCCTTTCCATCTTACTGCTTTCACATATGGCAATTAATTCCTTCGTCAGTGCTACCAGAGTAGTTCTTCCTCAGAAATCTAAACTGTTTTTTTGTGTACAGCTTGATTGGAGCACTTCTCATTATTGTGGGACTTTAATGTGTGCTGTGGGGAAAGAGGAAAGACGATCTTGCTGCTGAACACGTAGAGATGTAAAATGTGACGCTGGACGAGAATAAAATGGTGGAGATTTCCATGAATGATATCTCAGTAGTCAATCCTGCCACACCAGAGAAGTAACATGATCATGGAGACAAGTTTTTTTTTTTTTTTTGGGGTCAGATCTTAAAGAACTGTTGATGTAAGAAAAGTTGTGTTTTATCATTATGCAGAAAGTCGGAGAAAATCTTTCTTATTCATATAATCTCTAGTTCCAACACAATCCATATGAACTTAATAGTACACATCAACAAGAGAAATCCTTTGCTTTCCGGCATAGTTTTTCAGTAGCCTCTCAACAGCTTCATTTGCAACTGAGTTTGAATTATTTCGATCACCGGATGGTTTCCATGAGCGGCACAGAAATCTATCAATTCCTTTGTGTTTCCTTTGTTCTGCTTACTGCACTGCCGGAAATTGTTTTCAGACCTACCAAAAAGGTCGATGCACGGTGTTCACTACCCAAGAATTTGGCCTTCATGTTTCCCCTAACATGGTTACTGTATACCCCATTATAATCCAAGCAGTCGGTTAGCTAATGTAGCTACGTTCACTTAACAAGTGAAATATCTAACTAATTACCTCGGTCCCTTTGTTTAAAGTGAGAATTGTCATGACAATTATTCATTTCATTGGCACAATATAAAAGTTTTTTCTCACTGTGCCACTTAATGAGAAAGATAGTAAGAACGCTATATATCTTTAATCTGTACGTGTATCTCTTGATTACGTGTTGGAATCTTCTCAGTCTAGATATAACCATTGAAATTATTTACCACTAATAAATTTAAATGCCCCAAATAGGAAGATGTCGTGGTTCTTTTGTGTATTGGTAAACTGATGGTGAATTCCACTAGCTAAACCATAAGATGTGTTGTCATGCACGAACTCATAAGAATTGGCTGGGAGCCTGGCATTGATCCTTTACAGTTATAAAACCCCCATTAAAGACGTCTAATTTAAACTACATTCCAAAACTATCTCACTCACTGAGTGTGATTTGTGGAGGGGCTGTCGCAGGTGAGACTGGATGATAAGACCGGCAGGTGGGGGTGGAGGGGAGAGATGGAGATGGAGGATGAGAATCTGTAAGATACGGAGTTAGTCTAAGGAGAAATGATTTTAATTATTGTAAAAAGAATAAAAACTAAAATAAATATGCTGATTTATTAAATTATGCGACATGAACATGTCATATGTCACATCAGATGATTTAGGAAATACAACATAAAACATCTCTAAAGGAATACTCTATAAAGAAATAACATCTTAAAGTCATAACGTATGATAAGACCAAAAAAAGTTATAACTTATTGAGACCAATTATGTATAGGAAAGAACTCCACATTGTGATAAGTTATAATTTTTCTTGATCTCATCTTACTTATCCACATACTAATAATTGTCAATCAGTACAAAAATATGCAATAGCTTTTTTTGATAAAGCCCCGGCACAAGGGAAATTTTTATTGATAACGAAAAATGAACTTACATCTAGTCAGGAGACATAAATTTTACCTTTCAAAAAACAGGATGGGGATTATCTCCCCTCCCCTCCTTTCACATTTTTTTTCCTTCTTATTTCTCTCTCTCTACAAAGATTAAATCTTGAACATTCAAAGAGGGAAGGAACAGAAGGGAAAAATAGAGGAGAGAGAATCCTTGTTCCATAAAACAAGAAAAAAAAGGCGAAAAAGTAAATGAAAAAAGAAAATGGGACATCAACATTATCCATCTAGGAACGAAAACAAAGAAAATAAGGAAAAAAAGGGTGGACATGAAAAGCAAAATCACACATAAAAGTTTATGATAAACTAAAATATTTCTCAAAAGTTGTTTTTATAACAAACAATATTATTTACACTAACTGAGTGAGAGAGTGGGCTAAGCCTCATAATAAGCCAGTAATAATATAGTTCAAACTCATCTTTGGCAAGAATCGAACCTAAGATCTCTCGCTTACAAGTTGATACCACATCTTTGAGCTTGCGTGTATTTATGTGCAAAAAATAATATTCATTAAGGATAAATAAGTCAATAAATAATTATTTTTAACTACACCTCTATTAAATAATGGAAAGGGATCCTTTCTGGATCCCTTCCTCTTAATCTACCAAATCAGGGAATCTGTGCCATTGAAAATTGATCCAACGGCTAAAGTTATTATAACTTTTAAAGTGGGTCCTTGTATGTAGCCGTTGAATCAAATTTCAATGACACGGATTCCTTAATTTGGTGGATTAAGAGAAAAGGATCTGGAGAGGATCCATTTCCTTAAATAATAACCTCCCTAAAGCTATAAAATTGATTTATTCCCAATGTTAATAAAATTGGTTTTGTCCAAACTTTATAACCTTCTAGAGGTTTTACTATATTTAATTGTCAAAAAAAAAATTAGCACGTTCACTCGTGGAAATATTTAATATTCTTATCGAGTTCTTAAATGAATCCGACTAGCGTAGTGCAGTAATTTCAATAATTGATAAGGTATAGTTTGTGTATATACTTTATCACTCATCGAGCACAAATTTTTGGTAAGAGGCAAAATTTGCAAACTAAATAATATGTCATCAATACGAATGAGTACGTTTATCTATGTTTAAGTAATAAATCAATCATCAATTTTTATGTTCTTTAATTTTCAAAATTTTGTCTACAAGCATTACCTAAAAAAATCCATTTTAATAACCAAAAGCATTTATGAACCTAAGTAGAAAAAATTAAATGAATGACATATTAGTGTTTATAAGCACTCCCACATCTTCAATATCTTAGTACTCGTTTGGAAGTGCTTTGAAATAACTAAGTGTTTTTAGTGAAAATGCTCTTAAAAGCAATCATTAGTAAAAATCTAAGTAGATCCTAAAAAAGCATTTTAAGTGTTTCCCGCAAAAAGCAAATATATGATGTTTCTTTTAAACGCACTTAAAATGTTTTTAAAATCCAAATTAATCTAACAAAAGAACGTTTTCAATTATTTTAAAAATAATTTCCAAACGAGTGTAAAATGAAAAAAAGACATGGTCATAACAAGAAGTTCATTGGTCCGCTCGCGACATGGGGGTTATCTAGGCAAGACTCAGTGGGTGGGGTTCGAAATGCAAAAGGGTTAGCCTGGGGTGAATTTTTTTGCATGGGTCGTGGGAATGAGTTAGTCCGCCGGGCGGGGACTCTAGAATATCACCACAACAGCAGTTCATGTGAAAAAAGAATACAGTTTATAATGATGCAGGGTTGGGGAAGAGGAGAGAGGGAGAGAACGCGAGCAGAGAGGAGAGTAGAGAACGGGAGCAGAGAGTGATCAAAGGGACAGGCTAGTTTTATGGTTTGCGACGTCTCTCGTTAAGACCGTCTAGCACGGTCCTTAGTCAAGGCAAGTCTAGCTTAATCCCACTCCGTGAATTAACAAATATGGAACTGGATTAACTATTAGTCTAATCCAGTCTAATGAGGGCTAGTGAAGGGAAACAAACACACCCTATCATTCCTCGGAGACAAATTTCTGGTAAGGGAGACTCAATTTGAAAATAAAATTTATAAACTATATAATATATCACCAATATAAATGAACATGTTTATTAATATTTAAGTAATAACTCAATCATTAACTTCCATATTCTTTAGTTTTCAAAATTGTCTACAAATGTAGTCTCCCAAAAAAATGAACATTTTGATAACCAAAAGCATTTATGACAACGTTAGCAGAATATGTTAAATGAATGCATATTAGTGTTTATAAGCACTCCCATATCTTCAATATCTTATTACTCTTTTGGGAAGTACCTTGTAATAACTGAAAGTGCTTTTAGTGAAAATACACTTAAAAGTAATCTTTAGTAAAAATCCAAGTGGATCGTAGTAAAACAGTTTAAATGTTTCCTGCAAAAGGCACATATATGATGTTTCTTCTACAAAGCACTTCCAGTGCTTTTGGAATCCAAAACAATCCAACAAAAAACATTTTCGATCATTTTAAAAGTACTTTCCAAACGAGTTCTTAAAGTGAAAATGGACATGGTCATAACACTCGACAGGTGGGGTTGGAAATGCAAAAGGGTAAGCCTGGGGTGAATTTTTGTGCATGGATCGTGGGAATGAGGTAGTCCGCCGGGCGGGGACTCCAGAGTTTCTCCACAACGGCAGTTCATGGGAAAAAAAGGAAAATACAGTTTATAATGATGCAGAGAATAAATGCTAGATAAAATACATCTTTATTCATGTAATTCTAGTTTGCTTCACACATTATCCAGCTGAAAATCCCAGATGCAATTCAACAGAGGTAAATGCACACCACTTTATGGAATTGCCTAGGCGCTAGGCTAGGCAGGAACCTTTAGAACACTACTAGATATGCATGCCATTGCCAGGGTAATGTTATTTACCATGTATCAAGAAGGGTAATTCTTTTCTTTTATGGCCTTCATTTCAGGGAGCTTTCAATATCGATCACAAACCGGTACTTCACATCTTTCTTCACTAGCCTCTCGAGCGCTTCAGTTGCATATTGAATCGGAATTATTTCAATCATTGGGTGAATTCCCTGAGCCGCACAGAAATCAATCATTTCTTGCGTGTCCTTTGTTCCGCCTGTTACACTGCCAGAAATGGCTTTCCTCCCTGCCAAAATATAAATGCATGGAGTTGATTATACTTGTAAGTTTTACCACTACTAAGAGAGCTGGATACATGAAATGAAACCGTAATTTCAATCATTGGAGAAATGCTCGAGTACCCAGATTAAGGCTTGCAGGACTGAATTTGACTTCACTGGGGAATCCCACCAAGGCCAGAGTTCCGCCCGTCTTCAACAATGCCATATATGGATCAAATGGGTGATCACCAGATGCTGTATCAATTAGGAAGTCAAATGACTTCACCAGTGACTGCAGAGCAAAAAATAACCGGTAAACATAGTGTTCATGTGATTAGCTAAGAAAAGAAGTATGCTTTATAAGAAAATCTTTGTATTTTTACCGCCATCTGCTCTTGGTCAGATGAAACCACAAATTTATCAGCACCAAGTTGGCTTAGAGCTTCCTCTTTCTTGGATATGCTTGTGCTCAAAACTGTTACATTTAAACCAAATGCCTTGCCAAACTTCACTGCCATGTGACCAAGACCGCCAAGACCAATCACTCCTAGAGATTTACCAGGTTGGTTCATCTTATGGCGTTTCATAGGAGCATAAACAGTAATTCCGGCACAAAGCAAAGGTGCTGCTGAAGCCAAGGGATAGTTGTCAGGTATCTTGAAGCAGTATCTGTAAAGATGAATTGGCAGAGAAATGTTATGAAATTGTTGCAAAGAAAAGTTCCGACTTCTCTAGTCATGAATTATATTACTACAAGAATTAATTGATGCAAAAGCGTTAAAATCATACGATTCATACCTTTCATGGACAACTATGTGACTGGAGTATCCTCCTTTTGTAATTGTACCATCCGCATCAACAGCATTGAAAGTGTAAACTGAACCCTTTAGGCAGTCGACTTCAAGTCCCTCATTACAATATTCACAATCTCGGCATGAGTTGACATAAGTTCCCACTCCAACATGGTCGCCAACTTTGAAGCGATGACAATTTGAACCTACCTCTTTTACAACACCTGCGATCTCATGTCTGGTTGCAAATAATCACAAACAGAACAGATAGATTTAGAAGGAGAACATGACGGTTACATTATTCATCATCATACTGTCAGAACACATACCCAGGCACCAAAGGATACTTCGAATCTCCATGTTTATTTCTTGACCAAATCACATCAGCATAACAAACTCCACAGTGAGTAATTCTTATGGAAACATCGTCAGCCCCAAGAGCCCTGAAGAAAGCATCCCACCCAAATAATAAGTAGAATGACTAGAATACAATGTCAAGGAACTTAATCAGCTTAAAACGCCATGGAAGTTACAACAGTTAATGACTGCAATTTTGCAACTAACAGTCTAAAAGTCTTCATCAATAAATCATGCTCAACCGCATTATTTTCACTCAGTAAGAGAACTTGGAACTTAACGATTGATGCAACACGAAAAAGCCATCATCTTCCAATTATATTTCATTGAGAAACCAATCAATGCAATATTGAGACAGTAAGGACGATTAAAAACATACCTGCGGTTGAATTTGTAATGGGATAGAACTCCAGATGGATCCCTTGCAGCATATCCAACGCAGTTCTCATTTGCGCCGTCAGAGCTCATGGTTCAACTATCAATCCACCATAAGCATGTAGCAATCAAACACACATCTTTTGTCATCGTAAGATGATCTAGAAATTCGGAAAAGAGTCGAAAGCACATGCAAGAAGAGAAATGGTTTTCACCCTCGCTGTTTATCCGCTTGCACTACCCCCTCTTGTTTCTAGCCACATGAACGAATACATAAACAGCGAGTCCAGTGCCAGAAACAAGCAGGGGAAGTGCAGCAGGGCAAAAATGGAGTGTGAAAATCATTTCCCCAACTGAGCAGAGCTCATTCACATTCAAAGGAAACACCTGGAAACAATAAAACATACTACTCCAATCCCCGATCTTCGATCACCAAACTAACAAAGCTCAAATTTATAGATAACAAATGAGATGGTGTTTGATTTGGGGTCTAGAATTTCGAAAACCCATTAGATTTCAGATTCAAATACTGCTCTTGTTTCAGAACTCAGATTCAAATATGATTGAGAATCCAACCCACTTAATAATCTTCGTTTTTGTTCTCAGTCATGTAGAATTATAAATCAGTTCTGTTCTTGCAAACATGAATAAATATATGAATTGCAGATGACGAAACCATAAAATTATCAAAGCAAGCGAAAATGGAGAAAAGTGTAGGGAAAGGTGCGTTTACCAGAAAAAAGATACGAGCAAACAAGAGACAGGTCACTTTTGTTTTTGCTCTCCAGAGGGTTCCCTTGTCTTGTATTTATAGTGAAAAATCAACCACCTCGAATGAGGATCCTCTCCGATCCTCTTTGTGAGAATCTCAAAATTTTTCAATTATATTCGTTCATCGTATATCAATTTTATTAGGTATTGTTTATATTTAATTTTAAATAAAAATTTTATAATAATTTATAATAGTACAATATACCATCTCGAATGAGGATCCTCACCGTATTCTCTATGAAGATCCCAAAATCTTTTCAATTACATCTGTTCATCATCGTATAGCATACGATCAGTTTTGTCAAGTACTAATTATATTTAATTTTAAATAAAATAATTTTTGATCGCACGATATATACTGAACGAATGTGATTAGAAGATCCTCGAGATTTTCACAAAAAGAATCCAAAAAAGATCATTTTCATCCACCTCGGCCGCTGGGCGTTTCTTGTCAGCTCTAATCTTTATCCATACAAAAAGGGAAACTTTTATTAATACCCAAATTATTCTTTTTTTATTAGAAGTTTAATATAAAATAAAAATTAAATATCACGGATGACGTTGATTTTTTATGTTTTTTTCGTAAGCGTGATATTCAAGTGATTCAAATAGACTTGATAATTTTTTAAATGATATGTTAATCTGACACGGAAAATCAAGAGAATAACATGTTTCGTGTCAAACCGTTGTCGAGTTTAATTATTAACGGGTCACCCATTAAGAACTTTGTTTACGAGTCGGAATGTTATTAGGTTATTCGTGAATGACCCGTTAAAATAACAAATATGACACGAATACGACCGGTTTATCAAGCCTAAACATTAGACATGATAATTTCTTGCATGACCCATTAACTTCCCATGAAATAACATGACTCATTAACGAGTTAAGTCGTTATCCGGTCACCTACCAAGAACTCGTTAGAATAACGAGTTTGACATAACACAATTAGTTAAAATAACGTACATGACACAAAAACAACACAAACACGAAAAATATGATCTGCTCGTCAAGTCTAGATTCAAATTCAGTACCTCACGTGATACTAGTCCCCTACGTGATGCCGCAGATACTATTATTTCAAGTTTCAACAATCCAAATTGTCAACCTAATCACTACCAGACCTTGACTCAACGAAAAATATAACGAAACTGATCAAGATCTTTTCAAAACGACCATAAATTAATGAAACAGCTATTGATAGCAACACCAATGGGAAAAGGTAAAGTTGACTCAAACAGCCGAAGGGAGCATTGAAATTGCAATGGAACACACTAAGCAAGGGTTCCAAGCCGAAAGTGATGGCTTAGACACAGAATCACAGACCTATTTCTTTTGCTTCTTCCGTTTAATGGAAGGCTTCCTATGTTGCAGCCTTACTGCTGACGATTCTCTAAATTGAGTAACTTCAGCGTCTTCAGGCAGTGTGCATAACAAGAATTTTTTGGTCGAACCAACTTGGTTGGGGAACAGCTTCAGCATCTTCCTTCCCCTCATCCATTTGAGCATTATCTTCATGTGTGTTTTGCTCATCAATCCACTGACACCAGATTCCTGAATTTTGCAAATAAAGCCCTTTTTCAGAAACATGAACTGATGAAAATTCAGATAATTAACTTTATATTCCACATTTATTCTTTTATCTTGAATAAGGAAAGAAATATATGTCCTCTTTTCGCTGGAGGGCTGATAACAAGCAAAGCCACTGAAAACTACCCATTTCCCATTGAATAATAATGAATACATGAAACATTTTGCCCGGGATGTACAGGTGCTAATACGTAAGTCTATACTGGAACTTGTCGATACAGACGTGGTAAGGACTCTATACTAGGTATCAGTAGACCAGGTACCTCTTACATTATAATACACTGCCTTTGCTTTTGTAAGGAACGCTTATCAGCAAACAAATTCTAGATATGGTTGCTTTGTATCCCCGGAACAGTAGTATCCAAAAAATCTTCAATGATTTATACAGATAAAAACATCAACAAAATGTGAGAGGTAAACCAGAAAAGTTCTGCAAACTAGTACAAGAAAATGTATGCATAAGATGGAATTAAAAATCACTGCACTATAATACTTTCATTGCTGTATACTACAATACTTTCATTGCTGTATCACAAATACAAAAAAGTTTAGCATCAAATCAAGAAGCATGATAAATCTGAACAGAGGTTTTAGCATTTCTATCTTATAAGCCTTCATTGAGGGGATAAAAACACAGATGTCGGTGCTTTATTTTCTGAAACTTGCAACCCTTGTGGTTTTCTCAGTTATACTCATAATCCCAAATGTTAGTATGAACATAAACCATTCAAGTTACTTCTAAGACAGCATCATCACCTTACAAGTTGAAATTTTTTATCCAATTTATTAGAAACTGTTAAAACCAAAAGGGAAGAAAAAGGCCCTCAATCTCCTGTCCCCCTTAAAACTTGTTAAATCGAATTTTAAAAGTTTGTATCATGATGAACAGATCATCCTCCTATTGCAATTCGAGCTATCCTACATTAGTCACACCAGCTAGAAAGTATAGCCAGCCAACGATACAATTAAGTAACGCAAAGCTGATTATCCTACTCTAATCAGTGGCAAGTAAGACTAATCCTCGCTGCATTAATATGGCTATATGAAGCATTTGAAGCTAGACTACATGACCCCAAACACCAGATACACTAACTGAAATCCCGTTTTTCATCATACCCAATTGATAAAATATCATCCACATGTAGGCAGTGATTAGAAATGAAAATTCCCAAATGGGAAGAGTAAATTTTCCAGCTTTATCAGATTCATATATATGAAAAAAAAATGAAAGAAATAAAAAGTACTTCACAGAAAGGGTGACAAACCTTAGCCTGAACCCAAGTATTGGGGATGGTCAGAGGGCCATGCTGCTTGACGACGTCGTATAGATCACGAGCGATGGAATTAGCTTCCGGAAAGCTCACTTTTGGGTTGATTTTCCTCAGATTCTCCGCGCGGCTACGGGAGAAATGCCTGACAAACGCGGTGGCGCTTGAAATCAAAACACTTCCGGTTGAACTAGAAGGTCTAAATGCGCCGCCTCCAAACCACATCTTCCGATTGGACGAATTCACGACTCAATCGCTCCTTTTTCTTCAGTTCGTCTTCTCCGATGGGAAAATGGAATTAGATCAGGCGTTTAGCGGAACCAAAAAACCGTCTTTCATCAGGAACAGAGCACGTGTTTCTCACGTGGATTTTTTATTGGTATATTTCGGCGTGAATAGTGAGTTGAGTTTCCTGAGTTTTTAACTTTTATTTGTGGCTTGAGATGTATTTTTGAAAAAAGAATGACGGGTGAATCAAATTAGTTTCTATGGATTTCAAGTATTTAGGTTGTTTAGTGGGCAAAACCAATCTTGCCTGCACGATAAAAGAGCCACCGCTTTATCTTTCTGTAGAATAAAATTGGCTAAAGATATGCGTTCATGAATCCATACTAAAGTTTCAATTAGTTCTTGCCAATATCTATGTCATAAAATTAAGAACATAAATCTGGTAGCCCAAACAAGATGTACAAATAAGAACACGAGTACTTTTGTACTTCATGTTTCATTTTTTTTTTTCTTGTTAAGAGTTTCATGAAACAATTAGTTGTATTTCAGACTTTCATTAATAAAATGCTCTTTATTATCAATAAAACGAGACAAACAAAATTTATATTTGTAGTTTGAGACCGTTCATGATTTCCTAACCTATAACTTTCAACATGCCAGGATCAAACCGAGACAAACCAAATTTATGCTTTTGCGTATTTTCAGGTCCTTGCAGTTGTCGAGACATTCATGCAACTCTTGATCAGACTGAAAGTGCATATAATTTCGTGCAATTCGACCATCGGCCAAGCCATGTGCAAACGTTTTACTAGGGTTTTCGAGAAGGGCATGGAGAAAGAGTGTTAAAACCCAAACCTGCAATGGTCTCAACCTACCAGTGTAGCAATGGCGATGGAAGCAATGGAGAAGATGAGTTGAGAGAAAGAGAATATTCCATTAGTTTTTCAAAGCATACCATTACAAACATTTCGAAATAACAAATATACCTAGAACCAGCATTCCCCCCTCCCAAATGTGTGAATGCCAGCTGGACACTTAACCAACTAATTAAATTGACTACCCAAAAGACTTAAGCTATTACACTCAGACCCCAATTCCACAAACTCTTACAATTTAGTCCAATACTACTAATACTAATTTATCCTTGTGACTGAAATAATTATCAAACCTAGTTCATACCAATACTCCCTTCTTCGAACAACCTTGTCCTCAAGGTTCTAAAGTGGAAAATCTAGGAACTTATCCTTAAGCTCTTCGAAATCCTCCCAAGTTGCATCAGTTTCCTCTTGGTCCTTCTATTGCACCAGCACTTGTACACTAGCAACACTACCCTTTTTGTACATTCTTTTAGCAAGAATTGCTTGAGGAATGTTATGAGAGAACCCATCTTCTATGATTTGAGGAAACACAGATTGTGGAGTGATTACAGAACCTAGTTGTCTCTTGAGGCAACTCACATGAAAGATAGGATGAATCTTAGTTTCTACATGGAGTTTTTACCTTGTAAGCCACCATTCCAACCTTCTCCTCGATTTCATAAGGGCCATAGTACCTTGGTTGTAGCTTGTGGTAGCTATGTGGAGCTAGAGCATGTAACTAATAGGGTACCAACTTTACATAGACAACTCTTCAACTTCAAAATGCCTTTTAGTTTTCTTTTTGTCACTATATTGCTTCATTCGATTCTACGCCACTTCCACGTTTTTCTTCAACACTGCTAACACTTTATCTCTGTCCAATAAACCTTGTTCCATAGCTTCTACCTTTGTAGTGCCTAACTCATAAGGGATTACTTAGGGTGGAGGGTATCCATACACTAACTCAAAATGAGTATGTTTTGAGGAAGTGTGAAAGGAAGTATTGACACACCACTCAGCCCATGGTAAACATTAAACCCATTTCCTAGTATGCCCTCCCACAAAGCATTTTAGGTAGGTTTCCAAAAACATGTTCATTACCTTAGATTGCCCATCACTTTGGGGGTGGTACCCTAAGCTCATGCATAGCTTAAAGTTCTGTAGCTTAAAAAGTTCCTTCCATAAAGCATTTATGAAGACTAGATCTCTGTCACTCACAATAGAGCTAGGCATTCCATGAAGTTTGAAAATGTATTCCACAAAGAGTTGTGCTACTGAAGAGGCAATGTAGGGGACATTGGCACAAAGTGAGCATACTTTGAAAGCCTGTCCACCACCACCCATATCACATATTTCCCTTTGCAATTGGGTAGACCTACTCAGAAATCCATATTGATATCACTCCATACTCTTTATGGGATTGGGAGTGGTTGCAACGACCTAAGAGGTGAGATATTTCGATTTTGTTTTGCTGAAAATTGGAACACTCCATACTCTTTATGGATCTGTGATGATACCATACTGGACTTGAGATTTTCAAAAGCATGTGCAGCTTCAACTCCCTAATTGAAACAATCCTTTCTAGTTAACTAGTCTAAGGGTTAACATGTTCTCCCATACCCTGGAACAAATTTCTTGTAATACCCAGATAAGCCTAGAAATCCTCTCAACTCTTTGGCAGATTTAGAGTGGGCCATTCTTGTATAGCTGAAATTTTAGAAGGATTAGCTGCCACACCCTTATAAGAAACAATATGGCCTAGATATTCTACACTTGATTGTCCAAAGGAACATTTGGATTTCTTGAGATACAACTGATTTGCCATTATGACCCCCAATACCACCTTCAAGTGTTGTAAGTGTTCCTTCCAATCCTTGCTATATATTAGAATGTCATCAAAGAATACTAGCATAAACTATATGACATAAGGCTTGAATATATCATTCATCAAACTTTGATAAGTGGTTGGAGCATTAGTAAGCCCAAAAGGCATCACCAAGAACTCATAGTGACCCTTATGAATTATAAATGCTGTTTTTTTTTTCCTTCACATCACTAGCTTTCATTAGGATCTGGTGGTATCCAAACCTCAAATCAAGCTTGGTAAAATACCAGGAACTATTCATCCAACATATCATATATGAGAGGTATGGGGTATGTATCCTTAATGGTTAAGGCATTTAGCTCCTTATAGTCTATACACATCCTCCAGCTACCTTTTTTCTTCTTAACTAGGAGCACAGGGAAAGAGAAATGACTGTGACTTTATCTAATGAACCCTGCAGCTAATAGCTCTTGCACTTCTTTTTCAATTTCATTTTTCTGCAATGAACCATAGTGATATGGTCGAATGTTTGGGGGTTTAGCTCCTTGAACTAGAGGAATGTGATGATCATACTCTCTGTGAGGAGGCAGTGTAGTAGGCGCCTGAAAAAATATCCCCAAAATTGCTCCAATACACCCTGAGTTCATGTAATTGCTCCACAGTTATGTCACAAGATTCCATTTTCCTTCCCTTCATAGAGTAGATGAATAGTCCTAAATTAGAACTACCAAGCTCTCTATCAATGTGCCGCAAAGAAGTTTCTTGAATCAATTGTGAAAGTGTCACAGTGTGGGAAAGTTTGTATTTTTGTTGATCTTTAGGAAACTCCATTGTAAGCAACTGGAAGTCCCATAGCACAAGGCTTACAATTGTTAACCATTGCACCCTTACGACAGCACCACACCCCCCAAGGGCAATGCAAAAAGATCAATAATGTAGTTACCCCACCCCTTACCCTTTACCCTTCACCCCTTCACAGATAGTGGAGTAGCTTTACAGTAGCCAGAACTTCTAACATTCCCCCCAATGCTTCAAAAGTTTTGAGTTCACAAAATTATGAGTGCTACTTGAATCTAACATGATCTTAACACTATGCCCATTAATTTGCCCTTTAACCTTCATAGTTTAAGCTGTTTAGCCACACATACTGCCATAAATTGCACAAGAACTGAGTTCCATTTATCGACACTCAGTGTGGTCCTCAGAGGGATTCAATTCTACATCACCAGAATCTAGCACATCCAGCATCAAAAGCTATTTTAATCCACCCACTTATCACCACAAAACCAGCACTCTCCTCTCTCTTTTTTCTTTTGGATCTCATATGGAGACAATTTCTTAATAGGGAAGTTACCCGAATGAAAGATAGTGTGAGGAATAATAGTGTTGGTAGTGGATTAAGGTTTTGCTGTAGTGGTATATTTTTTTAGTATGAGGTTTGAGCCCAGTGAGTTTTGCATCTAATTGCATAGCAATGGAAATTGCATCAGGTTTTAATGGCTTCGCATCAGACTTCAATTCTTTCTTCAACTTTCCTATGAAACAACTTTTAAGCATAATCGAACCAACCTCTGGTAATCTAGTAGCCAAACGCCTAAATTCAGAGATGTGGTCATGAAGGCTACATGTATGTCGTAATTTGAAGAGTGCTTCAGCACTATCTTTAAACTCAGAAAGTCTAAACTCCATACATAGGGCCTTAGTGAACTCCAGCCAAGTTGGGGTAGTATTCAGGCAATCCAACCAACGAAACCAGTGAAGGACCTCACCTTCCAAATGAAAGGAAGCAGCGAGCACTCGCTGAGCCTCAGGGATGTTATAGAAGGAAAAGAATTGCTCCGCCTTGTAGATCTAAGCAAGTGGGTCATCGCTCTCAAAGAATCTCAGAAATTCGACGTGCTGAGGCCACAATGGTCGTGGAAGAGGTGCCCGCCCCCCACCCAAATTAGGGCTCCGAGGATGAGGAAGTTGGTCTAGTTCATAGGGAGGTGGACGATTGGTGATCGGTGGAGCAAATAAACCTTCACCCGACTTCTGGCAAATCAGCTCACGACGAAACTGTTCAAAGTAGAGAGGTAAACGAGCTTCGAGGTGAGAATAAGTTTGTTGTCAAAAACAGTGTCAATGGCGAAGGCAATGAGAGAAGGCAAATCTACGAGGGAAGCTTCGAGGGAGGTGACACGAGCATCCATGGCGGTGAAGCGTGTGGTGTTTACACAGCAAGGAAAACCAGCGATCGAATGGGTGATACCAATTTTAAAACCCAGACCAGCAATGGTCTCAACCTACCAATGCAACAATGGCAATGGAAGCAATGGAGAAGATGAGTTGAGATAAAGAGAATATTCTATTAGTTTTTCAAAGCATACCGTTACAAACATTGCGGAATAACAAATATACCTAGCGCCAACATTCTCCCCCCCTAATACTAATTTATCCTGGTGACTGAAACAATCATCAAACCTAGTTCATAACAAAGAGGTGATTTTTTCGATCAATCTCCATGTGATTGTTATTGTTTATTACCTTTTGGATATCATCGTTCGATTTGTGTCGTGTTTTCTTCGAAAACCGGTGTGAAACCCTAGCCCTTCGCCCAGCCATTAGAGAATGATGATCAGATACAGAATAATGGAAAAGCAGGACTATTAACAAAAAAGAGTTTTTCATTTTTTCTCGATTGCAAGTCACAGTTTAACTCATACAAAATAAAATAAAAACACAAAAGGGAAAAAAGAAAAGACCAGTAGATCATAGTCAGAGCGCCAGGAAGGCTTCAACAGCTATTATGCCACATCCCCTAAATTCTATACAATTCCAAAATTAATCCGCATCCATGACAAACATTTCCCCCGATCACATATTTAACACATCGGATCGAACTCCATAACCCGTCAGCAGTCTTCAGCAGCAGCAGCAGCAGCATCGGTATCCCAGTCGTCTTCCTCTCCCAACTCGTACTTACTGAAGTGCTTTACCCTGAACTTCCACTCGCCTCTCAAGGCGTCATAGGAAACAAACTCGGCTCCTTGATCCTCTGCCTTCTTCTTCAGCATCTGCTTGTATCTCTCAGTCTTTGGGCCTTCTGTGAACTGACGTCCTGTTTTCTTGTCAGTGCACGTAATGTTGAGTAGTGTAACCTCAGCAGGTTTGTTGAGGCCTTGCCCGACGGGAGGTTTCTTATTGTCATCCATGTACACTATCACCTCCCGATTGTTGAACTGCACCAGAGCCTCGAGATCAAGGCATCGCACATCTGTCTCCCCAAAGAACTTGATGCTACCATACCCAACTCGTCCAACCACAAAGTCCTTGACACGACAGCAGAACCCCGGTTCCGCCCTTTCCTTAGCTGCCAATTCTTGGATTCGAGGCTCTGTATAATAGTCTGTACGCCGGAGCTTTGGCATTAGGGCCTCAATGTCAGCGCCATGCTCATATGCAATAGCAGCTTCACCGGCCCTATGCCCACTTAGTGTCATATATGAGTCCCCTTCCTGAACAGAATGATCGTCATGAACTCCATTAGGTTTCTGGTTGACTTTGACATGATTCGCCCGCTCTTTCACAATTCCATTTTCTTTTGGCGTTTCTGAAACAACGTTAAGCAAGTCTGTCAACACCACAGATACTATCGACCAAACACATTCTCGCTCAATATCTTTGTTACTTTTTAACAGCTCCGGACTTTAAAATGCAACCACAAAAATACAGTAACAAGAAACCACAAGCCAAGTGAAAACAAAAATCATAAAAGCATATACTCACTATCTTTATCCTCAGAACCTGCTTCTCCTGGAATTTTTCCTGAAACAATATTTTGTTCAGAAGAGTAAGCAATGTGCAGCAAGCCAAAATATGCTCAGTCACAAAAATAAATTTGAAAATTAACTCAAAACTCTCAGCATTAGTGCATAATAATCTAGTGTGCGGGGCATCAATACCCATGAACAATAAAAAAAAATCTCAATTAGGCCAGAAGGTCCAGAACCCGTCAACAAAAATACACTAATGGATGTGAAAAAACCAAAAATTCCCTTACAAATGGCTAGTAAAAGCATTTGCATACGCATTACATATGCCCATTCCAAAGGTGAACTATTTCTCAAGCCAAACATGAAGAGGCTGTACAAGTGAAAAGGCAAGGAAAGCAAATGATAATGGCACAACAGAGCTTACCATTCTCATGCACTGGAGTCGAAGTATCCTTTAATGGGGATGCTTTCTCAGCACCAACCCTTTGAGGCCACTGTTCTTTTGGACGAATGATGAGTGCTCTTGGGTTTTCTCTGGGAAGGAAAAGAGCATCCGCCTTGGGTGTGTTATCTGTTTCTTCATCGTCAACAAAGAATGGGAACTGCAAAACAATAAAGGCAAATAGGTGTAAGCACAAAATTCAAATGTAGCCTGAACAGAAAAGCTAATACGGATTAACTGTTTACATGAAGCATCACCCTCACCCTTGGATCATCATTCTTAGGATTATATTTTCTCGCAGGTAACCTGACCCGCCTTTGCGACAGGTGTCGAGAGGTCAACAAATATGATACCTTAACAGGCGCAGGTTTGTCTACGACCTGGCAAAGAAAAAAAGTCAATGTCACCATCCTAAACCCTCCACACGAGGATTAAAGAAGAAAGTTATCAACATAAAATCGCAACCAGATAGAAGTGCTTCTCGACAGAAATTAACACCTTAAAGTCAAATTCAATTTCAAATTAAACAAAAACAAAACCACATAAGAAATTCATATTACAGGCATGCTCGAAATTCCATATTGAATTGACGGTGCAGTTCCACCACGACCAATTGACATTTGTGGCATTGCAGGGAGCGTTCCAAATGGATTTGTAGCAGGTAATGGTTGTACAGCTGCAGAGCTTTGAGTGACAGGTCTATGAAAGACAGTATAGGTCAATATTTTCCAGTTCAATTCTTAATTGTAAAATTCAAAATGATAAACAAAAAAAAAAAAAAAAAAAAATCTAAATGTTGTAATCTATGGACATAGAGAACGAAAAGAAGACCTCCAAGTAGCTAATAAAACCCTACATTGTAAGCCCAAAGAGCAGGTACATATTGGGAGAAGAACATTGTCTTAGAAAAAACTTATATTTGGAACATGTATCAACCTAATTAATACTCTAAAGTAAAATTTTCTTATTATTAAATGAGCAATAAAATCAACAAAAAGAACCTCTTCCACTACCAAACAAGTAAAATAGGAGCCCCTTTTTAGATTTGTTTCAAATGAGATATCCAAATCCAACGATTCTAAAAATGTAAGTGAAACCAGAGGGGTATACAATATCAGTAAATACACCATGTACACATGCACACGGATAGAAGAGATTTGAGTCATATGACATACAACTGTCCAAAGTTATTCTGACCAAGAATTCCTGTTGAAGTTCCCAATCCACCTGTGTAGCCTACAAAAGCAAACACCAATTGATGAAATCAGAACCATCAACTGACAAATAAAACCTCAATGGCTATAGAAAACATAAAGATGCTCAGAACATATGTTACCTGATTGTGTTTGATTAAAACTGTTGAAGTTAAAACCACTATTCTGAGTTGGCTGAGATGAGAAGGGCACAGAAAAAGTCGGCTGCACGGGAAAGAAAATAGGGAAAAAAGTTGACCAATAACCAATTAAAATCTTTTACAATTAAAATTAAAAACAACCAATAAGAACTTACAGCTGGTTGACTAAAACCCATTTGACTGCTTGTAGCACCAGCAGCAGTGGAGATCGTTAAACCAAAGCCAGTAGAAGGGTTACTGAATGGCTGCGAAAATGTTGTATTCTGCCCAAATGGATTGGTAAAAGCACCACCTGTCTGGGCAGCTGGAGGTGTGGGATTGAACGGGTTTGAATTAAACGTGGAAGTTGCTGTCGCAGCTGGAGCAGGAAATGAATATGCAGAGCTTGACGAACTAAAGAGAGACGGAGATGAGGTTTGCGGGAAAACTGTAGAAGGTTGTGATGGTGTAAAAGGACTAGTTGAAGTAGAAATCCCAAAACCTGATGAACTGAATGGTGTAGATGATGTTGCAAAGCCTGTATTTGTGAAGGATGGAGTTTTTGGAGCAAACAAATTAGATGAAGTTGTGGCATTAAAAGGACTTGAGGCTTGAGGAAATGCCTGTGCAGGATTCAAAGGGTTTGGCTGTGAGGTGGTAATGCCAAAGCCACTCGCACCAGCAGGAGCTGGACCACCTGGAAGTCAAAATTATAACATTGTGAACTTAGCAAATGCTATTATTGCTGACAAACGCGTCAAAATTTCTAAGATACTGAAATGTTAACTAGAAACCATACCTTTATCCCCCAATTGATAATCCTCCCAGCGGAGTTCTTCATGACTTTTTTCTTTATATGCAGGCATTGCTGATATTGACTCCAATTTCCCAGCAGCATTAGTCCCAGTGCCACCATCGGGTTCAGGAGTTGCAGCATATGCAGCCACTCTACTGCCCCCGCGTTGTTGGCCCCCAAAAGCTGACTGCCCAAAGGCACCAGTGTTCCCAAATGTTGTTGATTGAGCTCCTGCATCACAAATCATAAAAAATATAATACAACTACAAGGAAACTAAACAGAATGAGTTCCATTTTTTTTTTCCCAAATGTACCACCACTCATATGCATCTGGAGTACTCACCAAACGGAGAACTCTGTGCTCCAAAAGGAGATGAAGTGGTAAACTGGCTGCTACCAAATGCAGAACTTGATTGGCCAAAGGTAGGAGTTGATGGAAAGCTGAACGATGGAGTACTGGACGCACCAAAACCAGGAGCACTTGAAGCACCAAAAGCAGGATTGGTTGAAGTACCAAAGGTCGAGCTAGATGAACCAAAAGCCGGGGTGCTTGAAGCCCCAAAAGCTCCCCCAGATCCAAACAAGGGAGAACTCGACACCCCAAATGCAGCTCCTGTGCTTCCAAATGTAGGACTTGCTGTGGAACCAAAGGCCGGGCTACTTGTAGCTCCAAATGCTGGGGTGGTGGCAGCACCAAAAGCAGGGGTGCTGGTAGCACCAAAAGCGGGGGTGCTGGTAGCACCAAAAGCTGGGGTGGTGGTAGCACCAAAGGCTGGACTACTCGTAGCACCAAAGGCTGGACTACTCGTAGCACCAAAGGCTGGACTGCTTGTAGCACCAAAGGCTGGGGTGCTTGTAGCACCAAAAGCTGGGGTAGTGGTAGCACCAAATGCTGGCTGACTCGATCCACCAAATGGCGTGGAGGAACCAAATACACTGCTCCCAAATGCTGGCTGTGATGGTTGAGTTGTACTTCCAAAAGGACTTGTTTGAGTAGGATTGGACCCAAATGCTCCAAACACAGGCTTCTGACCAAAACCAGATGAACCTGTTGAGAGACGGTGTACACATGGAGGAGAGAAACAAAGAAAAAATCATCAGTGACAAGAAACCAAACTAGCGAAACAATTGAGCAGAGAGATGAATAACATGTAACCAAATAACACAGGAATTGTTTGGGTTGAACATCCCATTATAACTAGATCGATCTTGTTGATGAGCTTCTAAAGTGGAAATAATTCCGCAGATAAACTAAGAGGCAAAGTGACATGTACCCCTTGAAATACAAGATAAAACCAATCCCTCACACAAAAATTACAGCCAGAGTAGTAAAGGTATAGTAATCATCCCTGTTCAACTTTCAGAGTCTTACTTCCCCCTAATGATATTTGTCATTTCACAAGCCAACTGCACCAATGGATTTATACCAAATACGAAGTTTCAACAACAATATATCCATCTTGTACAGAATGCATAATCCACTAATATCATGTACTGAAAGCCTAATCCACTCATAAATGCCCAGAAAAAAAACTCAATACATACTTGAAGGGCATTGTAAATGATTCCCAATTACCATATATCATAATAGTTCTATCAAAAGATCAGTTGAAGAGTGATGAGCAAACAAAAAACAAGAAAAAAAAAAAGTTCAAATTTAATCCATTGGCTTACCACCAAAAGGTGATGGTGAAGGACTAGAAGTTGCTCCAAAAGCAGGCGTTGTATTTCCAAAAGCCGGTGAGGACGCAGCACCAAAGGTTGTGGAGGAAGGAAAAGGTGAAGAAGCTTGAGTTGCGCCAAATACACCAGTTGAAGTTCCTCCAAACATGTTACTCCCTGTTTGTGCGCCAAATGGGGTTGTACTACCAAAAGGCTTAGGGGCAAAAGGATTGTTATTTGTGCTGCTGGTCTGCCCAAATACCGATTGGGACCCAAACGGGCTGCTAGATGACTGTCCAAAAGCTGTTAACCAAATTCCACAATTAGATTATTTTTCACAACGAAAAAAATTACCAAGCCTGTATATTTATCAGACAATCAAACAGCATAAACAGAAGACCAGATAACATTGCCCAAACCGCTAATAAATGGATGCCATATTCATTTTACAACGAAACAAATAGGAAGTGTATCGAAATCTTCCGAAAATTCGACATATGATTGAGAGAAAACCCAGAAACCAATTACTCGTGTCGGAACGAATTAAAATATATTGAATGCAGTAAGAAGGATGCAACAAAATCTGACTCCAAGGATCAAGTGAAAGATAGAGATAAAGAAAGCTTACGATTAGAAGAACCGAACATCTTCTCTTACTATTCGGCAATCAAAACCAGTGCTATTTTCTCGATCTCGAGCTGTAACGCATACAGAACACAAAGTTAACACAAATACACAGCACAAGACATATATTTAACAAAGCATCGAGGATTTAATAACACAAGAAATCCCTAAAACGCGAATCGAACTAAACGCAAACGACAGCGTTAACGCATTAAATCCGGCATTAAATGCAATCGTAAACCTAATCACCAGAAGAAAACCGAGGATTAGGGTTTTCAACCTACCTGAAAGTGAGCGAAAGTAGGGATTTCGAAGGCGGAAGCGTCGGCCGTCGATCTGAACTCGACGGAGGTTGTGAGTTTCGAGATTAGAGGCGGCGGAAGGCGACGGAGAGAGGGCGAGGGAGGAGGGTTTGGAGTCGCAGAAGGGAAGAGGGCGAGTCGTTGCAACTTGCAACCTCCCGAAGTATCACAGTCGTCAGAAATGGGAGAAGGCGAAAGGTTTTTACACGAGTGGATGGCTGGGGAGGTGAGTGACGGGCGCGTCGCGTTAATAGTAATTTCGTGATGTTAGCGTGAAAAGTAAGCCGTAAAATTATACAAGGAGAGAAGGAGTCATTTCGGACAAGTCGCGAATTACGGATGGGTAAAACTCAAGAGCAAAGCGAGTTAGAATGAAATTATTGTATCTCCGTTACGGACATATTTGCTTAATCTAGAACGGGTGAACTCCTAAGTTAGGAAAGAAAGTAAGTGAAATAAGGTATCGTCTTCATCGATATATTTACTTAACTGAAATGGTGAAATTGTGAACTAGAGAATGAAGTTAATAAAGCTAATACAAACAAATGAGTTGAGCGACAATACGCGTTTTTGTTAATGACATGTTTATTCATTTGGAATGGGTGAAGTCGCGAGTCAAGAAAGAAATTAATGTTGAAAAAGAAAATGAATTAGAATGAATGTTTTGTATTATTTAGTCACATGTTAACTTATTTGAAATGAGCGAAGTCGTGAGTCAAGAAAGGGAAACAATAAATTAGAACATCTTTAGACACTAATCACAATCATTGAAGTCTCCTCCTGAATAGGTTATAACATAGTCAAGTACAACTACATTTCAGATTAAACACAACATAAATTTTTTCACATCGGAGGGATGATCGAAAAGTCCATATTGAATCCACGGTGCTCCTCCACCATAACCGGTCGATGTCTGTGGCCCTGCAGAGTTTGGAGTAAACAGCAGCATGACATCATTTGTTTTCCATTCTAACTTCAAACATTTATTAGAAAGTTCCAGATGTTAAAATATACAGTAGACAACTTGATGTGTAAAATAAAGATACCTCCTATGGAGCATAAACAATCTAGTGAAGAATCATCGACGAATCAAATAGGTTTGAGAATGATTAAAGAGATGACAACTTTTGTCTTAGAAAGAAGGTCAACGTTTTCCCCTACCCCAAAAACCCTAATTCTGCAAGCCTCCTAGTTTTCAGCTCCTGTTTCTGACTTGCGGTTGGCGGCTAGCCTGTCCACCCTCCTGAGAATCTTAGTTCTTCTACCACTCTACATCCTTCCTCTCCCACCATCTTCCCCTGTGATAGCTTCCCTTTTTTTCCTTCCGACCCCTCATTCCTTTGTTTCTTTACTTCTCTTTTTCCTTCTTACTTCTCCCTCCCTTTTCCCTGCGTTATTTGGCTTCTGCATTCCCTTTTATTTGGGCTTTTAATTTCTAGTTTCCTCGACTTAAACTTCCTAAGCTCGTCTCAGATCTGAGCTTTTATGTTCTTTTTTTACCTCTGATGTTTCTCTCCATCATCAATCCTCTATCGCCGACCTATGTTACTCAGCCAATTGTGTATCTATGTTCGGCACACTTTGGTGTTGTGTAGTTGTTAAAGTGCCCTTAGCACTATTTGGTAGGATTATGGGAGTGCTTTTTTGGCTGATGGCTAGCTTACCCCCATATTCCGTTCATCAAGTTTTTTGGTTTTTCAACATTTGGTACATGAACTTAGACACTGCTAGAGTTTAAGGGATTTAACTTCTGCATTTATACATTAAATATCCCACAAATTATGAAATTTAAACAAATTCAAATAATATTTTTACAATATAACAATTACTCAAAAATCAATAATAGAGTAATATTGTTCTTCACGTGGTTTTAGCAAAAAAATAATATACCCGCGTAATTATTAATATATTTTAAGAAATAACTATTGATATATTTTAGAACATAAAATAAATACATATAATGAGCATGGATACATTCACAAAAATAATATGGGTACAAATTAAATTATCGGTACATATTAGAATTCAAAATTATGGGTACAAATTAAAACTAAAAAGAATATTAGTACAAATTATAAATAGAAATATATGAAGAAAAATACTAAAAGACATATTTGGAAATGATTAATAAGTTTTTCATTTTTAGATTGACAAATAATGACTTGTAGATAATTTAAAATTTTACTAATGACACGAAGAAAAGTTAAGAGACTTTGATAAAAAAGAAAAAAAAAATAGAATAAGGTTTCGATTAATGAGAAAGAAAAATGAGGGATGGTAATTTAGTTTATCTTTTTTTTTAAATAAGGTAGGGGCTATGGAAATATATATATATATATATATAAAGTTTTTATAATAATATTACTAGTATATGGGCGCGCACAAAGTATATGAGATAATTTTATTTTTTATTTTTAATAGAATGAGAGATGAAGGGAGTGATAGAGAATGTGAGAGTATGAAGTTTTGTTTTTAATTTTTTTTTAATTATAGATATGTTAGGATTATATGTAGGTGATGCTTTGAAAAAAAAATAGTAAAATTTGGTTGCGTGAAATTACATTTATGCCCTATATTTTTTATTCATTTTCTGTTTTAATTAGAGGGTTAAACTAGTAATTTAATAGGGTTTTGGTTGACAATGAGTGTTTTATTAATTAGTAGAAATTATACGTATGGATTCTTCTAATGAATTGATTGTGTTGTTATACATATGTAATACTGACACACCCCGACCAAAATCAAGGTGTGCTAGCCGTCACGTGAGGGTGATGTAGACATGTGCACAGTGCGGAAGCAAAAGATAATAATAAAAGTACGAATAAATAAAAATCAAACTACTAAATAAACTAGTTAAGGTAACACACTAATGTAAGACTAAGTGTGATAAACATAATCAGAGCACAGAAAACCTAAGTGCAGTCTAGAAGAATAATTCTAATTACACAACACCCAAAGGTGATCCTACATTTGTGATGTTTTGTCAGAACCACTGTCAAGTCCTCGTGAACCACCAAAGTTGCTTCTAACTAGAACCTGGAGAGGCACAAAACAGAAAGTGTAAGTAGGCAAAAACAAAGTTTTTCAAAATCATTTTATTATCAAAAGTTCTAACCCTTTGCCGTAAAACTTGTACAGTTTCCTAGAAAATAGAATATACACATATATCAAAAACATGCTCAGAAATATACCATGTCGAATGCCTCCACATAAAATGTAAGTAACCCAGGTAATGTTAATCAATGCAAGTAACATGTCAGCCGGAGTCACCTAACTTGACATGTACGGCTGAATCTAGAACTCAAATCCCCAACTCACTAACTATACCTGCACACGAGTCGGAACCACCTAAAGTGGTTTGTACGACAAGACTGGGTGTAAATAAATACGCTTAAGTGCTACGATCACGTGAAGACTGGACGAATAATAGCAGGTCACCTACGAGTTGGAACCACCTATAGTGGTCTGTACAACAGGACTGTGCACCTAACTTGGATCCAAGATGAGCATGTGGTGCAGGAGGTGAACATCACGTGAAGAACTGTGCCCTACTCTGGGCGAGAGCACTAACACCGGGGATGCAGGTTATGAGTTCTCTATTTATCTCACATAAACACTAATTCACAATCATAATCTATAAACTTACCTGGCACTTACCTGTGCGTTCGTAGCACCTATTATAAATATATGCAACTACTAAAGCATAAATAAATAGGCAAATGCAATGCATGACATTTAAAACATATAAACCCTTTATTTCATTTTCTGGGAAAAACCACAAGTATATAGGTATATACGGAAAACCAAAAGCCCAATCATTGATACTGGGCTTCCTAACGTACTTCAACTTTCTTCCTTGAGCTTCGTGAGAGTGTTTTAAAGCTCCCTATGACCTTAAAAACTCCTAAAAACTTCTAGATGTTGATCCGTGCGTGAAAGGTTGGTTTTGAAGTATGTCCGTACACTTGAGAAGGAGAGAGTGTGTGTGTTTGAGATAGAAGGTGGTACACATGAGAGGATGATAGGGATGCGGGTGTGTGTGTGTGGTCTAGATGCAACCAGCCAAACAATAAAATAACCACCCCAAAATGACAAATAACTACCAAGAGTAAAATCGTCATTTCACACCTACGGTACAAATAATTCGAGACGGGCTGTCACAACCTACCCCCTTAAGAAAATTTCGTCCCGAAATTCATAACAACTCAAACTAACCACTAGTAACCATAGAACAACCGAGGATACAAATCTCTTATCCGGTCTTCCGTCTCCCGAGTAGCCTCCTCTGCTAAGTGATTCCTCCACAAAACTTTCACTAATCTCACCATCTTGTTCTTCATAACCTTTTCCTTCCAATCCAAAATCGTTACTGGTTACTCGTCATATGTCAAATCTGAACTCATTTCCAATGGTTGAGGAGGTATCACATGCGACGGATCCGCAACGTAATGACGTACCATGGATACATGAAAAACATTATGCATTTTAGCCAGCTCAAAAGGCAACTCAAGCCTGTAAGCCACCTCACCAGCTCGCTTGATGATCAAATATGGTCCGATATACTTGGGACTTAACTTACCTTTCTTTCTGAACCGTACTACACCTCTCCACGGTGAAAGCTTCAGAAACACCCAATCACCAACTTTATACACTCTATCAGTGGTATGCCTGTCCGCTAAGCTCTTTTGTCGATCCTGGGCCATTTTCAGGTTAGACTTAATTACCTGAACATTCTGAGTAGTCTCATCTACAATCTCGGGGCCCACCAAAACTCTTTCTCCGACCTCTGACCAACACAAGGGTGTACAACAAGATTTACCATACAATGCCTCAAATGGTGACATGCCGATACTCAAATGAAAGTTGTTGTTGTAGGCAAATTCCATTAAATCCAACCACTTGTTTGAATGGTCCTTTTTGATTGTCCATCTGTCTGAGGATGATATGTCGTACTGTAAAGTAATCTTGTACCCAAAGCTTCCTGAAAAGCCACCCAAAATTTAGAAGTAAATCTTGGGTCACGATCCGAGACAATACTCACTGGAACACGATGATACTTCACAATCTTCGATATGAATAATTCAGTTAATCGACCCAAAGAATACTTTTCCCTCACTGGAATAAAATGCGCCAACTTAGTAAG